GGGGGGGGGGTCCAAAAATCGTAAATGAGGAATTTATACCTCGGGGTCCATCCTAGCATACGCTTTTTTCCTGAAATTAAAACTACTTTTGCTGATGAACTTAGCATCCATGTTTTTAATTTTCTCCAGTTACAGACGCAACAGATAGAAGTAAGATCAAAAGCGCTTATTTTTCACCATTAAATTGATAATCCTTATATCTCATAAATTCTTTGGCACAAAAAGCCATTTATATATTAATTGAATTTATTCGACAACGTTAAAATTAATAATAACTAAAAAGTTAAATGTTGAGCATTCAGTACTGATCGTTCTCATGTTAGACAAATCAACAGGTGGGCTACAACGACTCCCAACACCATGATTAACTCATGTAATCTAGATTGGTTCAAGCGAACGATGTGGAGGTTTCTCAGTTAGCCCTGCCGTGTAATCCTCAGGATTCTTGGTTGTCTGTATTCTTGAATTACTGCTCCAACAGAGGAATTATATCTTCGGAATAGTGGAGGTGGTCCTGGTACGCCAGCACTGTCTACAGGTATGGGAACGTTTTAGCTTTTTAAAAAGATCATTTTTTAAAATATGAAGATTAAATCTTTTAGTTTTATTTAGTTCGTTGTTTCGTTAACGAGGTCAGGTCCTTATTAATTTAAGATAGTTGACGACGACTTTGTTAATGATCATTAACTTCCTTTTTACAAACTAGTCCCTAGCCATCTTAAAACTTCTTATCTGGTAATCTTAACGACTTCGCCTTCAATTAAACTTTTCTAGTAAACTTTAAACCTATTTGTCTAGGGGTTTACTTCTTCTAGTAAACCTTAAACCTATTTGTCTAGGGTTGTCCCCCTTCTAGTAAACCTTAAACCTATTTGTCTCCCTTCTAGTAAACCTTAAACCTTTTTTCTAGGTATACCCCCCTCCTATTAAACCTTAAACCTATTCTCTAGGTATACTCCCCTCCTAGGAAGCCTTAAACCTATTATCTAGGCATACCCCCTCCTGGTAAACCTTAAACCTATTTGTCTAGGGGTTCACTCCTTCTAGTAAACCTTAAACCTATTTGTCTAGGGGTTCACTCCTTCTAGTAAACCTTAAACCTATTTGTCTAGGGATTCACTCCTTCTAGTAAACCTTAAACCTATTGTCCAGGTATACCCTCCTCCTTTAAACCTTAAACCTATTCTCTAGGTAAACTCCCTTTCTAGGAAGCCTTAAACCTATTATCTAGGTACACCCCCCTTCTAGTAAACCTAAACCTTTTTGTCTAGGGGTTCACTCCTTCTAGTAAACCTTAAACCTTTTCTCTAGGTATACCCCCATTTGTCTCCCTTCTAGTGAACCTTAAACCTATTGTCTAGGTATACCCTCCTCCTAGTAAACCTTAAACCTATTTGTCTAAAGGTATAGCCACCTCCTAGTAAACCTTAAACCTATTTGTATAGGTATACCCCCCTCCTAGTTAACCCAAAACCAATTTTTCCAGGTATTCCCCCTCCTAGTGAACCTTAAACATATTAAATAGGTATCCACCCCTCCTATTGAACCTTAAACCTACTTGTCTAGGTATCCACCCCTCCTATTGAACCTTAAACCTACTTGTCTAGGTATACTCCCCTCCTAGGAAGCTTTGAACCTATTAAGTATACCCCCCTCCTAGTAAACCTTAAACCTATTTGTCTAAGGGTTCCCTCCTTCTAGTAAACCTTAAACCTTTTCTCTATGTATACCCCCCCCCCCTCCTAGTAAGCCTTTAACCTATTTGTTTCCTTCTATTAAACCTTAAACCTATTGTCTCGGTATAGCCCACTCCTAGTAAACCTTAAACCTATTGTCTAGGTATACCCCCTCCTTGTAAACCTTAAACCTATTTGTTTCCCTTCTTGTAAACCTTAAACCCATTGTCTAGGTATACCCCCCTCCTAGTAAACCTTAAACCTATTGCCTAGGTATACCCCCTCCTAGTAAACCTGAAACCTATTTGTCTGGGTAACCCCCTCCACTAGTAAAACTTAAACCTACTTGTCTAGGTAAAGCCCCCTCCTCTTGAATCGAGAATCCTCTTTATCTCGGAGAAGGAAGAGGGTTGGATAGAGGTCAGCTTCGACGCTAGTACTGAGTTCAGGTTGGTACGTTTTCCTTAGTTTCATATCTATCACTATCTTTATATATATACAGGGTGGCCAAAATGTACCGATTGTACGGATATTTTTATACCCCTAAAATTTTACAGTTTGTACATATTTTTTGTAAGGGTTTTTAAAAAGTCTGGAAATACACTTTTTTTGACTCATTTCAGAAAAAAAAAACTCTTTAAAATTAAGTAAGTAACTTATTTTCTGCATTCTAAATAGAGTTTTTAAAAAGCTAAAGTACAGTTTTCTTTCAAAAAAAATGTACGGATTGTACGGATTTTTCCCCCTAAAATGTACGGATTGTACAGATTTGTTCTGAATATTTACGGATTTTTTCACAAGTTTTGGCCACCCTGTATATGTTTGAGTCTGTCTGTCGTCTTGCTTCAATAAACGTCTTAACGGCTGAACTGATCAGGCCAAACATTTTTGTGTGACCTCGCTTTGCCCCAGGGAAGGGTTATGTAAGATCGAATTTATAAAATTTGTTGTTACTCAGTCATTGCTATCTTTGCTTGGAGGGTTGCATAAATGTACATGTTGCAGTTGCTGAAATGTTCTCTTCAATTTCCAGTTTTTAAGAATGATTATTTTAAAGAGTAAAGTGGTAAAGTGCGTTATTTGGTTGAAGTTTAGCTTAACTTTTCCGATTGTTAGGGAAAAGCACCTATAACTGCACAACTAACTATAGTTAAATACAAATTGTTTGGAAAAACATGCATTCTAAAGTTTTAAGATATTTGAGCAAGAAACCGAAGAAAAAATGAAAATGTTCATTATTGTTTCAGATACTTAGGTTGCTTTCATGAGTCTATTCCTAACAAAAAACGTTAAAATTATTTTGCACTTAAAAATCCGAGCCTCCACGCATACCAAGCCAATTTTTGACGTCGTGGCATAAGAATTTTAATTGAGATTAGGGTTATTTATTGACAGTCATGATTAGAAACCAATATGAGCTCATAAAGTGGTTTATAAGATTTATTCTAAAACTTTAAACATTTATTAGCAGAAAGAATATTTATGGAGTAAACTTAGATTTTTTTTAATCTTTGATTAAAACAACACTTTTTTAAAAGAAATAATACACTTTACATTCCTGCTAAACCATTACGGTTCAACCAATGAGATGGCTTGATAGCTAATATTTGTTTGATTTAGCATTTAGAGATATGAAAGGCATTGACAGTGTAATTTCAAGTGACCCTCACAATGTCTATGTCCGATTCACATTGGTCAACTATATTCATTTTTAATGATTAATCACAAAATGAATCGGAAAGATTTAAAGGGTGTCGTTCTGAATTAGACATTGCCATTTTTGCATGGAGGTTTATTTGAAATTACGCTTAACGCCGCTTATTAGTCCATTTTTTCGGATATGCTCATTAGATCTAAAAAAAACTTGTAATGAACAATTTTTTAGTGTCCTATAAATTAACCCCCTCGGAAGAGGGTTTTATTGAACCCTTTCTAATTATTTTCAGATTTATCTCGCAGAAATCCCCTGCTTAGTTTGGGATTTTACAGAAGATAGGTCCAGAAGAGATGTCTCATTCCTGTTCCTCTCTTCTGGACCCCTCTTTTTGTAAAATCTTTAATCATCCGGCCTAGTTCATTAAGTTTAGTTTGTGGAATTTGTCGAGATTTTACATATATTATAACCTAATCTAATAACAGAAATATAGGTCAGAAAATTAAGATTTTCATTTTTTATTATTTTTTTTATTATGTTAAGTATCTTTCCTTCTTTTTCTATAAACTTGATTTTGGTCTGACAACTATTTTGATGGTAAAATTTTACTAACTCTCTCTACTTGTTTTTTGTAATTTATCAAAGTTAGTTTTTTGTTTTTGCAACTTTTCTCCAGTGAATGTCAACCAAACAAAATGTAAAATGTAACAGATTATTTAAGATAATAAAAGTCTTCTTGAACACTAGTTTATTTCTAATGCTGATAACGAGAAACATTTATGAATTTAGACTTATTTGTTGAGCAAATATGCATTAAGGAAAAATACGACTTTTATCTGCCACTGTTGATATAATTCTAGTTAAAAATGTCAGTTCACGATCATAATGTTGAGAAAGCGATTTCTGGATGACTTGTTCTTGAGCGTTTACTTCAGTTGATCTTTTTTTCATAAAATGTCCAAAGATAATTTTTATAAGAGTCCTAAACATATTTCGCCATTTTATCAATTAAGGTTAAATTTTTGAAAATTCGAGTGTATATTTAGTGCTGTCAAATAACAAGTTGTAAAATGTCCATTTTGCTCATCTTCGCACATTCGTCCGCGCTTTAGACAAATTTTGTCATGACATGTATGTACACATGGTGCCCCCACATCCACACCTTTGCAAAGAGTATGTATATGGGTAAATAGTTGAAATTGTTTCTTTTTATGCCTGAAGTAATGGCGAATAAGGTGTCTCTATCTAAACATAGATATTAAAGTAGTTGACATTGCTTAGATGTCCAGTAATCGTTAATGAACATAAATAAGTAGATTTTCATTACTGAATAGATGTCCGCTCGATAATTATGAACATCACTGCTTAAATGCTTGCTTATTACATATGATCATCACTGCTTAGATGACCAATGGTCAATTGGCCATTTATTACTTATGAACATAACTGCTTAGATGTCCTTCATTACTTATGAACATCTCTGCTTAGATGTCCGCTCCTTCATTATGAACATCACTGCGTAGATGTTTGCTCATTACATATGATCATCACTGCTTAGATGTTCATTCATTACTTATGAACATCACTGCTTAGATGGCCATTTATTACTTATGAACATAACTGCTTAGATGTCCGTTCATTTCTTAAGATCACAACTGTGTAGATGTCTGCTCTTAAACTTATGAACATAACTGCTTAGATGTATGTTCATTATTTATGAACATCGCAGCTTGATGTCCATTTATTAATTATTAACATCACTGCTTAGGTGTCTGATCATTACATACAGTCATCATTGCTTAGATGTCCATTCATTACTTATAAACATGACTGCTTAGATGTCCATTTATTACTTATGAACATCACTGCTTAGATGTCTGCTCATTTATAATGAACATCACTGCTTTGATTTCTGTTCATTATTTATGAACATCACAGCTTGATGTCCGTTTATTACTTATTAACATCACTGCTTAGGTGTCTGATCATTACATATGGTCATCATTGCTTAGATGTCCGCTCATTCATTATAAACATCACTGAGTAGATGTCCGTCATTATTAATGAAAATCACTGCATAGAAGTCCGCTCATTACTTATGAACATCAATGCTTAGATGTCTGTTCATTATTTATGAACATCACAGTTAAGATGTCTAAATTCATTACTTATGAACATCACTGCATAGGTGTCTGTTCATTACTTATGAACATCACTGCGTAGATGTCCGCTCATAAACTTACGAACAACACTGCTTAGATGTCCGCTCTTAAACTTACGAACAACACTGCGTAGATGACCGCTCATAAACTTATGAACATCACTGCGTAGATGACCGCTCATAAACTTATGAACATCACTGCGTAAATGACCGCTCATAAACTTATGAACATCACTGCTTAGATGTCCGTTCATTATTAATGAAAACAAATATTTTTACAAGACACTTATAAAATCCATAATTTAGTGAAATGGGTCTGTGTACAATGCACAATCCATGTGTCTCACGCCCATTGCACATTTAAAAGTTATAACTTGATTCTAAAAGTCGTCTTCCTATTTCAAAGTTGAAAATTATTATTTAATTGTTAAGTTTTACTTATTTATATAAATTACTCATTTAACAAATTCCTTGATGTAATATTACAAAATTTTCTCGTTTTTTCTTTGTTTATTCAAGCATATGTTTGATAAACAATAGTATCTATTTGTTAGATTTTGTTGTCTAAAATTCGTTAAGCTTTTTGCTTATATCTGTAATGTTATGGGCCGGACGAACTCCTGATGTTGTCATAGTTTTCGCCAAATATATTGAGAAGAAAATTATATAAAACTAGTTAGCAAAGAGAGTTAATAGATTGAAATATAGAAGGTCTTTAACAAATTGGGTTGCAAAGATATAGGGTTAAGAAAATTAAATTTTGAGGTAAAGACTCAAATCCTTTTAGAAAAAAAGATTTTACTGTGTTAAACATCTCAGTTTATTAAAAAGCAGTTTTAAAGCAAAAAAGTTTTCATGATGAACCTAAAATGGACTTTAAATGGACCTAAAATGGACCTTAAAGGGACTATAAATGGACCTAAAATGTACCTAAAATGGACCTAAAATGAACTAAAATGGACCGAAAATGGACCGAAAATGGACCTAAAAAGGACCTAAAAAGGACCTAAAGTGGACCTAAAATGGACCTAAGAATGATGACCACCCATGGATTTACTGTTCAGTGATAAATGGGCGGGAACTTTGATCTTTCTTCTTCTTATGGGACTAACTGTTCTTAGGTAATCAGCCTTATTATAAATATTATAATGGTTTCTTATTTTTATTCCATTTTATCATTATTGTTTGATTTATAATTTCTTTATCATTATCACTTTCATTACTTGAAAAAGTAATAATTAAAATAATTATAATAACTACAGGGTGAGTAAAAAAAAGTGTGATTTGCGGCGCCTGTTGCATAATTGTGTGGTGTTTTTTCAATATTTTTTTTAAATTTAATATTTTTTGGTACGTTAATGACCCCAAAAAAAATCCACGAACTTTTTTTTCTCCCAAAATCAAAAGTTCAGAAAAACAAAAATGTGTAAATAAATTGTTTCTATCGAAATCTTAAATTTTAAAAAGATTGAATCACAAAATCTCAGAAAATTTGCAAAATTGTAATAAGAAAATTCGCAATCTTCGGTTCTGGTCTAATTTTTACGAAAAAATAGTTTTTCATTGGTTCCTTAGATTTCAAATGAACAGCGTATATTTAAAGCTTAAGAATAAACTAAGAAGAAAGGAACTAGATAATTTAAATAACTTTTTCTTAAAAATTAGACAAGAACTTAAAATTGCAAATTTTCTTATTACAATTTTGCACATTTTATGTGATTCAATCTTTATAAAATTTTAGATTTCGATATATATAATTAATGTATACATTTTTGCTTTTCTGAACTTCTGATATTGAGAGAAAAAAATGTACGCGGATTTTCTTTTAGGCCATTAGTGTACCAAAAAAAATTTTCCAAAAAAACTGAAAAACCACCATACCGGAGAGGTGCACAAAAAAGGTACAGTCGCCGCAAATCACACTTTTTTTGACTCACCCTGTATAATTTTTATTATTTTAGTTCAACTCTATGTGTGTATGCTTTGGACAGCTGCTATGGCTTAAACAAGTAAGCATCCTTGTAAATCAAATCATGAATGTATTAAACCCGAAAAAAATTTCTTCAAAGCAAACACTGAGTTTAAATAATATTTTACAACTACTTTACAGGGAATTTCAAGGAATTTCAGGGAATTTTATTTTACCAAGGGTTCCATCGACCAATTTTGCTTTTTTGGTTAAGTATAATATACACAATTTTCTCGTTTTTTTGAGATGAAAATGTGCGAAGTTTTTTATGAAAACTTTGCAGAGCGGGTCGTTATTTTACTAAATTGTCCTAAGGGACATAAAATAACTTGACGACCCTCTGTTGGGAGAATCATGGGTCTGTAAGGTTGGCCAAACGGTATTTAAATTCGTAAAAATCTTTTGAAAATTAAGAAAATTATCGGTTTTTTAAAATTAAAATTATCAGGTCTGTGTAAAGAAAAGCCAGCTTTTTAGCCTTAAATAAAACAATTTTTTAACATCTAAAAACGGACAAATGAACATGAACAAATGCGCATCTTTAGATTTGATTAAAAAAAAAATAAAAAAAATCGACCTTCCCTTTTGATCACTGTTTTTAAAATCGTAAATTACAGATTGATTTTTTGATTTTTTCCATTTTTCTATGAATATTATTTTATAATTTACTACTGCATAATTTTTTGCTGGTGCTAAACCCTTTTAATTTTAAAGATTCGGCGATTATTTTTTGGATGGAGGATCTCTTGAAATTACGCTTACAGTCCCTTTCAGTACCAGTTAGTAAAGTGTAAAACTTTTTTTTGCTTGATTAAGCGATGCTTTAATAATTAATGATAACCTCCAACTTTACTGTTTTTATATTGTTAGTCTAGCTTTAAAAAAGAAAGCATTTGATAAAAAGGCATTAAAAATTACATAAATCTCGACATTTTAAAGAACTTATTCATTTTATTAACATTAAACATAGGATTAAATATCCGCAGTAAGTACTTGAAAAGAAAGTACTGATAAAAATATATTTGTTTATAAACTGCAGTAGTGAATCCTGAACTGTTTTGAGGTGAACAATGTTTTATTTATTTCAATCATATAGCGTTAATTGATCAGTAAACGCTGGGGAACTCTTGTTTTGTTGATATCGAGATCAATGCTTGATCTCAAATTTTTGTTAATCTGCAGATTTAATCTTTATTCGATATCCGCAGTAAAACTGTACCCAGTCAATGGTTAAAGGGAGCCCTGATCAGGGGGGGGGGAACTGAACTCAAGAAAAGAAGCATTTATCCCCAAATTAAATATGCCCACAGTGCATATCGCGATCAAGCAATCGGGATTATTAGTATCCAACGCAAAATGTATGGATTTTTCTATCTAGTCGTTTTTATCTGTTTCTGATTTTGTTTCTATTTTATTGAGGACTCTTTTCTTTTGAATAAATAAAGCTTTTTTTTCTGCAAACAATTTTTTCTTTATCAGCAAATAACTTCAAAGCCATGGTGAAAGTTTTAACTTAATTGACAAGATATATTCGAATTTTATGTTTAAAATTTGGTCCTCATTTTAAACTTACATTTTTAAAATTAGGGAAACAAATATTTGTGTTGAAGAAAAAATGAAAACTGAGAGGAATAATCAGTACAGAATTTACTTCACTCCAACCGTCAGGCAAATACTTTCTTTTAAAGTCAGAATAATTTCAAAGGACATGTCCGATTCACAACGGTACCCTTGAAACCTTAATCTGAACAATAATGCAGAAGTTTAAGTTGTTTTTCTATACTTAGAGTTTTAATTCTGATAATTTCTTTAAAGCAAGTGCATGCACAAGTCACTTTTGTAGAGAAACCACCAATGAAAATACTCAGATTTTACAAAGAAAAACATGAATCTATATTTCATACTTGATTGGACTTAAGCTTTTAAGCCTTAAGGAAACCGTTGTAAGTCGTAGATGCCACTCTATCAATGAAATAATAGAAATGAATTATTTAAAAAAATAGTGTACAGCAGGGTGTTACTATTATTTTAGTGAAATTTACAGAGTGTCCAAATAGTTTTATTGTGTAATTTTTTTTTCATTTTGCAACGTTAGGAAATTTAAGTTGTTTTAATCACTAAATTGAATAATAATTAGCTTAAGAGCCCAACTTTAGCCATGGAAACTAAGTTGACCATATAAAATTTCACCTACTCAATTCAGAATTTTTCAAACTAAGCTAAGAACCAATCAGAATTTGAGGCAAATCGGTCAAGGGGTTCCTAAGTTATGATCGGATATACAAACATGGACAAGCAGAGATTACTACTTTATATATATAGATATTCCATCTTTTAATATTTTTAATTTCAATCATTGCTCTCTTTAGAGTATTTTCTAAGTAAAATATAAGATAATAACCAGAAAAGTTCGCGGAATTAATAATAATTTTTCATGGGGTTTCATAGTTTTGAGCATGTATATTCTCTGGGGTCATGTGAGTTGCCCCAAAAATATTTGGCCCGATCGGTTCAGCCGTTTTGACGTTAATTAGTTACCCACGGACAGACGAGGGAGCCATGAGCCTCCGCTATGCAGACGGAGCCTCCTTAGACAAGCAAAGTATATAAATACTATAGTTATAGAAGTTAAATGTACAGAGTGTCCCAATAGTTTTTTGTGTAATTTACAATCATAGTTCCTAGTCTTAGGGTTTCTAAAGTGTCATCTTTCTCCTTCAAAATCGACGATTATTTCTAGAAATTTGTCTAGATTTAAAAAACCCCGTTTTACGAATGAAAATCAATTTATCACAATAACCTTGAGGCAGAAGCCCAAGGGAGTTACGCGCATGCCGCTTTGAATAAAAAGAGAGAGAGAGCATGAGAGCCTGTTCTAGTCCTGGCGCTCGGCCCCCTACGCGCATGCCGCTTTGAATAAAGAGAGAGAGAGAGAGCATGCTCGTCGTAACTCCTTGGGGCTTCTGCCTCAGGGTTATTGTGAACGAAAAACCCTTACATCTTGAAAAGACGACATATAGTGTTCTGTCTGTATTGTTATTAATTTATGGATTTACAGGGTATCTCAATAAACATGGGAATTCAGAGACGTATACGAAATCGTCTTTGTTAAGATTTAGTGTTGTAGTGCCTAATTTTATTTTAGTTATGTCTATACTAGAGTACATTTTATGTATACGGTAAAAGGTTTTCTTATTCTGCAAAAATGATATTCTGTAACATTTTTGCATAATAAACAGTTAAGAGGAACAACTGTATAACTCTGTGTTAGTTTACGGGAGTTTAATATTTTACCAAGTACAGCAGTATTTTACCTAGTTGACATCACCACACTAAATCAAAAAATCACTTTCAAAGACGATATCAAAATCGTCTTTCAATTCCTGTGTTTATTGGGGCACCCTGTTTCTTGAAAACACCGAAAATATTCTATTTCTAGGTCATACTCGGCTAATCATGTACAGGTATATACAGTTAAGCTAACAAATGAATTTAAATAAATTTGCTCAGAAATAAATAAATATTCACTATACAGGGTTACCCACAAAGATTGAGACTGCTAAGAGGACCGTAGAGAAATTCTTTTTTTTTCTTACAATTTTGTTTAAAGAATGTATTCTGATGAATTAGGTACTTTCCCAAAGGGTATTTCCCAAGTGTATTGGCTCAAGTGGCAGCTTCCCAACTAGGGTTTGCAGCGAACGAAACGTTTCGCGAAAAAAAAACGAAAACGATGCGAAAATTCTTTCGCGAAAATATTTTCGAGGAAAATTTTTTATGGAAATCTTAAGTGTTATAGCTGCAACAATTAATTGCGCAAAAAAATTCTTTGCTCTGAGAGCTCAATATTTGAAGTTTCATAATGTCATATAAATAATTTCTCTTCCTTCACTTTAATAAATGTTTGATGAAGAGAATTTGAATATGTGTATCTTCGAAATTTTGTCGTTTTTGATGAACTTTCGCATGTTTTTTAGAATTTTTTNTTTTGCAAAATGCAACAATGACTTGGCTAAATGTATAAAGAAACAAATGTAAGCATGAATTTAAGAATGAAAAAGATAAAATGAAGATATCAATATGAATTTATAAAAATAAAAATGCAAAATACATATATGCACCTAATCAGAACAAAAATTATAATGACAAAAGAAGATATGTAATACGTAAGAAAATACAAAACTAAATTCCTAAACTACTTGTTTAGCTAAATGCTGGGTATTATTTTCCTAAACTGTTTGTTTAGCTACAGGCTGGGTACTATTTTCTTAAACTGTTTGTTTAGCTACAGGCTGGGTACTATTTTCCTAAACTGTTTGTTTAGCTACAGGCTGGTTACTATTTTCCTAAACTGTTTGTTAAGCTACAGACTGGGTACTATTTTCCTAAACTGTTTGTTTAGCTTCAGGCTGGGTACTGTTTTCCTAAACTGTTTGTTTAGCTACAGGCTGGGTACTATTTTCCTGAACTGTTTGTTTAGCTACAGGCTGGGTTAGAACCGGATCCTCTGCAGTACAATCAATATTCAAATATTATATTCTCAAAGGTAATATTCTAAAATTACTTTTAAAAGATTTAGCTAAATTTTTTCTATCTCTGTTGGTTTTTTCCTTTAAAGTATTTTTATTGCTTCACCTTCTTATATTCTTTCTTTCAATATCTTATTTTTAGTGGCACACAATGGAAGGAAAATACGCCAGGTAAATAAAAAATACAATTTTTATTTAAAAATATTAAAAACAAATTCTAACTATTCAGAAGCAAAAATTATGCCGCAATTTTGTTTAACATAAAAATGAAATAAATGACAAATAAATGAACCAAATAAACATCATACTGGTATTGACAAAACCAAATTTAACAAAAAACAAGAATCAACGGATCCAAATAAACCCATGACAAGTAATATGGGAACCAAATAAAACCCATGAAAGGAATTAACAAAACCAAATTAACCAAAGGACAAGAATCAACGGAACCAAATACACCTCATGACAAGAATTAACAGAACCAAATAAATCTCATGACAAGAATTAACAGAACCAAATAAATCTCATGACAAGAATTAACAAAACCAAATAAACCTCAGGACTAGAATTAACAGAACCAAATAAACCTCAGGACTAGAATCAACAGAACCAAATAAATCTCATGACAAGAATTAACAGAACCAAATAAACCTCAGGACTAGAATTAACAGAACCAAATAAACCTCAGGACAAGAATTAACAGAACCAAATAAATCTCTGTACAATTAAAGTGCAGGGCCACTTTTAGGCAGCTAAAGCAAGTTGTACAATTGTACATACAAACTATGGACGGGTGGGTAAATTATATGTAAATGTGCAGGGAGAGAAGCTGGATGGAGATTGTGGATAAATCTCTTGTAAAACATCAGTTAAATGCAACTAGGAAACAACCAAACCAAATCTAAAAAATTTTTCTTTTAGAATTCTCGGGGTCTGTATTTTCTTGAAAAATCTTTCTTTTAGGTGAAAATAAATAAGCTGTTGGTTGATAATTATTAAGCTGTTGATTTGAAATGTTAACCCCCGGAGACCCAAGAAAAAGTTTTTTTGGCAAAGAAGCTGAATACTCGCCTCAAAATCTAATTTACTCTTCTGTACAACTGTATGCCGAGTCCATTAGAGCCTGATCCAATCACGGTTCAGTCTTGTGTTTGTTGTCTATTCTGAACCAATAGAAATAGTATGGCGGTAACATCTATCTTTCTATCTATCTCATTATCCATTGGAGTTATGAATCCTTCAATAGGCGCTATCAGTAAATGGAAATATTTACTTCTCCTGAAACTATAAAAGTGAGAATTCGATGAAATATCAAAGGTTTACTATCGGACCATGTTCCAAAAATATATGAATTAGAACATATTCTGCAGTTCAAGGCGATCAGTCTTTCTCCAAACCAAGTTGAGCAGGAATTTCCGAATATTCTCTGGTTGTCTTGTCTGTCTAATTGTTTGAGTATTCGATCAACTAATGAACGGCTAGACCGATTTGCCTCAAATTTTGATTGGGGAACTACAGAAATGTTCTTAGTGTTTGTTAAAAAGTTCCCAGTTGAGCGGGTTCATTTATTGAAGGAAAACTTTTGTAGGATTATCCATTATTTTTAAATAGTTTCTTCGCAAATGTAGTTTTGAAGAAAAACTGGACGATTTACTTTCCTTTATGATGGATTATTAAATATCATTTTAACTAAATGAAAAATAACACATCATAAAGAAACACCCTGTATATATTTGTAAGAATAAAAACTCAAATGAATAGAAATGATTTGGTTTAGTGAGGAGGAAACACTGACAGAGGAAACAGAAGATGAAGAGATTCAAGGAAAACAGAAAGTAGTGAAATCATGGTGAGTGGAATGTACGATTTACAAAGGTACCCTCTAAATATTTCAGACTAACATTATTTGATCTAACAGAGTTAATAGATTGAAATATCGAAGGTCTTTAACAAATTGGGTTGCAATGATGCAGGGTTAAGAAGATTAAATTTTGAGAGGTAAAGACTCAAATCCATTTAGAAAATAAGATTTTGCTGTGCATCTCAGTTTATTAAAGAGCACTTTTAAAACCAAAAATGTTTTTAAATGGACCAAAAATGAACTTGAAATGGACCTAAAATGGACCTAAAATGGACCTAAAATGAACCTAAAATGAACCTAAAATGGATCAAAAATGAACTTAAAATGGACCTGAAATGAACCTAAAATGGACCTAAAATGGACCAAAAATGGACCTAAAATGGACCTGAAATGAACTTGAAATGGACCTAAAATGGACCTATAAACGATGGTAATCCATGGATTTACTGTTCAGTGATAAATGGGCGGGAACTTTGATCTTTCTTCTTCTTATGGGACTAACTGTTCTTAGGTAATCAGCCTTATTATAAATATTATAATGGTTTCTTTTTTTCATTCCATTTTATCATTATTGTTTGATTTCTATTTTTTATCATTATCACTTTCATTACTTGAAAAATAATAATTAAAATGATTATAATTATAATTTTTATCATTTAAGTTCAACTCTATGTGTGTATGCTCTGGACAGCTGCTATGGCTTAAACAAGTAAGCATCCTTGAAAATCAAATCATGAATGTATTAACCCAGAAAAAATTTCGGCAAAATAAACACTGAGTTTAGAATTTAGATAATATTTTAAAAACTACTTTACAGGGAATTTCAGGAAAAGTTACTTTACCAAGGGTTCCATCGACCAATTTTCTTTGTTGGTTAAGTATAATTTGTAATTTTCCGAAAAAGAAGTTTTACACAATTTCATCGTCACTCATGTGAGATGAAATTGCGTGAATTTTTATTTATGAAAACTTCGCTGTAGAGCGGATCGTTATTTTACTAAATTGTCCCAAGGGACATTAAATAACTTAACGACCCTCTCTTGGGAGAATCATGGGTCTGTAAGGTTGGTCAAATGGTATTAAAATTCGTAAAAATCCCTTGAAAATTAAGAAAATTCAAGAAAAAAAAACGTTTTTTTTTAAATTAAAATTATCAGATCTGTGTAAAAAAAGCTAGTATTTTAGCCTTAACTAAAACAGTTTTTTTAACATCTAAAAACGGACAAATGAACATGAAAAAATGCGCATCTTTAGATTTGATTCAAAAGAATAAAAAAATCGACCTTCCCTTTTGATCACTGTTTTTAAAATCGTAAATTTCAGAATGATTTTTGATTTTTTCCATATTTCTATGAATGTTATTTTAGATTTCAGTCCTGCATAATTTTTTGCTGGTGTTAAACCCATTTAAAGATTAGGATATTTTTTGGATGGAGGATCTCTTGAAATTACGCTTACAGTCCCTTTCAGTACCAGTTAGTAAAGTGTAAAACTTTTTTAAAAAATTTCTAGAGGAGCATCTGTAGAGGATGTATTCCCAAGCATCAATGATTCAGTCATCATTGAAGCTGGAAATCTAGAAAATGAAGATGACACTGAGATCATGAAAGGGGAGGAGATGCCTGTTGATCCTGTAGAACAACCTGGAGAGCTGGACGAGCTTTATGATTTTGATTTTGATCTTGATCTGAATTCTGATTTTTATGTTGTCAGTGTACCCCAGGAAAGTGCATATTTATGTTTAATAATTTAAATTACAAACATTATGTTTAAATTACATACATTATGTTTAAATTACAAACATTATGTTTAAATTACAAACATTATCTTTAAATTACAAACATTATCTTTAAATTACAAACATTATCTTTAAATTACAAACATAATGCTTAAATTACAGACATTTTGTTTAAATTACAAACATTATGTTTAGATTACAAACATTATGTTTAAATTGCAAAAATTATTTTTAAATTACAAGCATTATGTTTAAATTACAAACATTATGTTTAAATTACAAACATAATGCTTAAATTACAGACATTTTGTTTAAATTACAAACATTATATTTAAATTACAAAGATAATGTTTAAATTACAGACATTTTGTTTAAAATACAAACATTAAGTTTAAATTCCAAACAAAATGTTTAAATTACAAACATTATGTTTAAATTACAAACATTATATTTAAATTAAAAACATTATTTTTAAATTACAAACATTATGTTTAAATTACAAACATAATGTTTAAATTACAAACATTATGTTTAAATTACAAACCTTATATTCAAATTACAAACATAATGTTTAAATTACAGACATTTTGTTTAAAATACAAACATTATGTTTAAATTACAAACATTATCTTTAAATTACAAATATTATTTTTAATTTACAAACATCATGTTTAAATTACAAACAAAATGTTTAAATTACAAACAAAATGTTTAAATTACAAACAAAATGTTTAAATTACAAACAAAATGTTTAAATTACAAACAAAATGTTTAAATTACAGACATTTTGTCTAAAATTACAAACAAAACGCTAATAATAACTACGAACTTAAGGTTCAGTGCAATGATAAGCTGAACATTTAAACCACTTCAAATGTATAACATTGTACATATATATAATTCGAATATAGGAAACTTAAACTTAAAATTTTGAAATTTTTTTATTTTCGGTAAATTTCGCATTTTTTCTTTTTTCCGCTTTTTCGCAAATTTCATTTTTCGCGAAAAAGTTTGCGAAATACTAAAGAAAAATTTCACGAAATTTGGCGTTTTTTGCAAAAGTTTTCGTTGGCCGGAAACCCTACCTGGAAGTAAAAAAAAATATGCCTTTTTGTTTTTAGGAGAACAATATACTAGCTAGACCAGATCTTGAAAAATCTCAAGCCAGTAGTTCTGAAAAAACTCAATCTAAAACCAGTAGTTTGGACCAAACTCAATCTCAAGCTAGTAGTTTGGACCAAACTCAATCTAAAGCCAGTAGTTTGGACCAAACTCAATCTAAAGCCAGTAGTTTGGACCAAACTCAATCTCAAGCTAGTAGCTTGGACCAAACTCAATCTCAAGCTGGTAGCTTGAACCAAACTCAATCTCAAGCTAGTAGTTTGGACCAAACTCAATCTCAAGCTCGTAGTTTGGAGTTGAACCAAACTCAATCTAAAGCTCGTCGCCCATATTTCCCACAAGCCTCCGCTTTACAGACAAATCTGAATAGTAAGGCACTTAATCTAGTTACAGGTAATACATTTTTATTATTATTATTATTGTTATTATTATTATTATTATTATTAGGGGCTATAGAATACATATAGTTTTTCCCCATCACGAAACAATCTAAATAGTTACATTTTATATTATTCGGACTTTTGGTTTTTTAGTTTTTCTAATATGTTGCACTGTTTATTGTCTAACTATAGGAATGTGCAATATACAGACACAGTTTGATTCGTTTGCTAGTATGAAAAAATAAAGAGATTGGAACAGAAATTGAAGTGTTTTTCTGATTGTTTAAAACAATGTTAGTGCTTTTTTATGTATATTGTATGTTTTATTTTTTATATGTTAATTGCTTAAGAAATATAAAAAGTAATTTGTGACAAATTGTTAGGAAATTTGTACATATATTTTTCAATGCAATTAGTATTGTATTGTAAACGTAATTTGAAATGTTCCTTCATTCAATTAAAGACAATTTTGAACTTATTTGTTTTAAAAAAGTCTATAATATCTCATTATAATCTTATACATTCTTGAGAAGCCTATAGAAACAAATGTGTTTCCCATACATACTAGTTTGTAGTCCATATGTCTTTATAATTGAGGTTTCGATTATAAAGAACATGACTGTACGTACACCAGATTTAATCTTGGAAATAAAAACTTTTAACTTCAAAAACAACCACAACCAACAAAGATTAATTTAAAGGGGTATTTTGAACAATGTATTTCTATATTGAAAATGTACGTTTACAAATTAAGATTTTTAATAATATGAAATTATCTTAAAAATTTTGTATGATGTGGAAAAGCTATTTGTCTCGGGGGTAATGAAATGTAAATTTTTTTTTGTTATCTTACAGTCAAAATGTTGAGTGCAAAGTGCGCCGACATTTCTAATCCCCCTAAAATTGTATCCAGGGAAAAAGATCCTGGTGACACGAAAAAGGAAAAATGTATTTTTCCTTTTTTTTCAAAATACTTTTAATAAAAATTAACTTCCTTTTTACCGATTATGTAATGCACACAGGGAAATAATTCTACTTAAAATCAAAATCAAAGGGTTAGAAGGTGCCTGCTTGCTAAAATTCCGCCAAACAGGGGAACCCCTTGCCTCCTCCAAAATGAAGCAGCCTCTGTTAATACCAACTGCAAGTTTTTATTTTATAAAAACCATGAATTAATTTGATTTTAAATTAAAAGTTTAAAACGTAAATCCAGTCTAATATTAACCCATGTTAGTTCTTTAAGTAAATCTACTTTTAATAAACTAGGCTAACAGGGTCAGGGCGCTTCGTGTCTATCTTCTATTTCAACTTATAATTGTTGCTCTATTATTCAGCATTTTCTCTTCGATAAAACATTAATAAACAATTCTTCGCAGATTTACAATTTCGTTTTTACAAAAACAATTGTGGAGACAACTTAATTTTTGTAATTCTGAGCGTCCAACCTTCCCTGGGGTCCTGAGAGGTCCCACACAGAATTTGGACCCGATCTATTCTGCTGTTTTGACGTATTGGACACAAACGGTCAGACAGACAACGTTGCTATAAATGGCTATACATCGTCTCACACCGGCAACATCCCCCTACTCCCCCTACTGAACTTCTGAACTACTAACTTTCCAACCTACTGCGATTTCAGTTTATTTTTGTATTATTTGAGGGTTAGGTTAGGTTAAGACAATTTCAGGGCCGAGCGGTGCGGCTAGGACAGAGCTGCTAGGGGGCCGAGCGTCGCGGCTAGGACAGGCTAGGCGGCCGCGGCGCTGCGGCCACAAGTCCAATAAGAAGCTGTAAAACCAGGTGCTAGTAGGTCGGATGTGTAGTATAGTGGATTTATCGTAGGTCAAAAGTTAGTATAGCGGATTTGCGTAAGTCGAAAAATACACCACCTTATTGGGTTAATGTTCCATTTTTTGAAGACGACCTATTTCAATCAGGTCAACATTTTATTTTAAGTCCTTTTAGAAACCAAACATTTTGGTAACAAAATATACTGAAAATATTTTTAAAAATCTATTTAGTCACTTTAATGTGATAAATTCACTCAAAAATCTTCATATATTGTGTAAAACCTTTTCGTAAGAATTCAACGAAAAGAACGTATTTGCGGCATTGTACAAAATGTCCGGCTACTCTTCTGGCCGTGGACGCTTTATTTAGACATTATTAGTTACAGTTAGTTAGAGATGTCTGTGTCAGGATTATGTGAGCAGTGAAAAATAATAATAAAATTACGTAAAAATTAGTAGAATTTTGATAATCTTGGTTATTTAAGTTACGCCATGATAAGAGAATCAGTCGTCGGTATATTCCTAGAGAACGTCAGCATTTATTATTCGCGTCGATGCAAATTTACAAATTTTTAACCAGTGGATTTTCAGAATTCAAAAAATCAGTTTAACTCTGAGTGTTGACTAATTAATACATCAGGCAAGCAGTTGAAGGTAATCTAGTTAAACTTCCGGAAATCCAGTTTTTAATAAAAAAAAATGGTTTTTTTTTGCAACAAGTGTTTCCTAGATTAATATGTGGGTCCGTCCTAGAGAACGGTTTCTGGGGCAGGATCTATCCTAAATTTGATAAAAATGATGTGAATTCAACCTTAAATATAGCTAAACAACCTGTTATCAACTTGCCAGGCCAAACAAACTAACTTGAATATAGCTAACCAACCTGTTATCAACTTGCCAGGTTAAACAAACTAACTTGAATATAGATTTAATTTTATTGTTGTCATTTTCCAGACTCATGTTGGGGATGGCGACCTCGCTTGAGATACCCTTGAAGGATGGGGAGGAGGTCATCGAAATCCCGTTTGACGAACTCCCTGAGGCATCAGAGATCCTTCAGATTCTACAACAGGTTCCTTTGGGCAGGGTTTAGTTCCCTGGATCCGGATACGGATCCGAAAAAAAAATGCTCATCCGGATCGAAGTGGCATAATATCATTCAAAACTTAAGAAAAAATATGTTTGCTCAAAGAAGTACTAATTTTTCTAATCATTGAATCTCAAGCTTTCAAATGTAAATTTGGATCCAGGGTATGACAAATAAAATGAACGTTCTAAGCATAATTTTTCGAAAATCTTCAAAAGAAACTAAAAGCCGCTTTACTCGTTGAAGTAACTTTTTTCTTTCATTCAAAAAAAATTTACAATTGATATATTTTTTCTTCAGGAGAAAGCGCAGTTACATCTTTGGAACAAGTTAGCTAGGGAGTACTTTAGACAGGTCATTACTTTGATTAAATAATTAATCATCGTCGTTGCTATTTAACAGATTTCTTCTTTATATATTTTGATAGAAAGTGGAGCCAATTGGGTACCTTTTTATAGCATAATTACACAAATTAATAACTGACTAATCGGCAAACTTATTTTGTGTCATTCTTGCAAATTGGGTTAAAAAATATGTTAATGATAAATCATGGATTTTGCTAAAATGATATCATTGTTAAATCCGTTAAAGTTTAGAAAGAAGTCTTTATTAAATAATTATTTAAATATATGTTGAAATCCCTTTTCGTCTTAAAAAACGTGAAAATACACTTAACAGGAAAATAAACTCTCCCTTGCAGTATATAACCTACAGTATAGATTTTTTTCCACAACTTTACATCGTTCTTTCGTTTGTTGACAACAATATGGCAAATTACTGCCCCGATCAATTAATCAACATTTGCGATCGCATTGGATGGAATTATATGGACCCCTGCCCTAGTTAGGTTTTTTCTTTTTCCCTCGGTTTGAATGTGTTCAGTCTCTTTGAGCTTTTTAGGATCCGGATCCAAGGGGCAAAATATCAACTAAAAACTGCAAAAATAAAATTTTCTCTAAACCCAATTCTCAACTATTGATGAAAGGGAGAGATTATAAAAATTTCCTGATTTCTGAATGGTTCATTAAGTTTCAACATAAAAATAAGACAAAAACAAAAAATTCATTAAATTTTATGGAAATAACCTGGATCCGGATCAATTTTTTCCAGTAAGATACAGGATCCGGATCCGCATCAAAATTAAATGGATCCTAAGCACTGATTCATGTAAATGTTCACAAATTATACGTAGTACATCACAATAATTTACTATGATCCCTGGACAGTGGACATATTCGTTACAATTTCTTCTTTTTAAAAAAATTATGTTGAAATGAACTCGGGAATCTATAGTAAAGCGTATTCTGAAATGAACTCGTGAATGCATGACAGGTTGTCAGAGAATCGATTTAGAGAAAATTTTAATTTTCATGAAATTTTCTTCTTTAAAAAGACGTTCCAGGGCCCAAAAGGTTATATTGCACGAATGTGTGAAGTACACCTGCAGTATGGAAACAGTAACAAAATGGCGGTTTTACACTTATTTCGAATTAATTCCACTCTTTACTTATCTAAACTCTTTGATTAATTCTTTTTTCTTATAAATATTATATGTTTGCAGGGTCGAAAAGACGACTTCACGAAGATCCTCACCTCTGCCATTGCCAGCCCGACGGATAAGTATGAAGAGTTTGACCACGATCAGATGAACTCCTACGACATGCTGGCTGCATACTTCGTTCAGGTTCATTTTTCGTAGAACTCAAAAAAAAGTAGCAAAAAATAGTTTTTCAGGTCTGCTAAATTTACGGTATTGTTTAATTTTGAAAAAATCACACATTTCACGGGAAGAAATAAATACATTTTATTTACTTCTTCCAAATGATAAGAAAATGCCAATTTATACCAATATATTTTGGAGTTCCCTCTCCTTTTAAAAATATTCTTTGCAATATTTGGAAGTTTTTTATTTTTTTAACGTTTTTAACAATTTTTACTTTTTTTTTGGCGAATTAAACATTACTTCGTACCATTGTAAAACAGATTTTTTTTATGAGGGGAAAAAGTATAAAAGCAAGGAAAAGTGCTTGGCAAGTTTATGCCTTAATTATTTTAAAATTTTAAGCTTTCTTAAAAAATATATTCGTACCTCTGGTTGGACTTTTTGGACTTATTTTGACATTTCTTGCGATGACAGATAATTTGGCTCAGACTTAATATGAGAACTATGCCTCCCCCCCATTCCCTCCCATGTATAAATATACGCAATACACATTCGAATCCGGGTTAGGTTAGGTTAGATTAGATAGAGGTTGCGCATCTCAAATATTGGGTGGATAATGGATAATGATTGCAAACTCGGGAGTTTTTGTGTGAAATAAACGCATTGTTTATCTAGGAGGCGAACAAGGAGAAGCAGAGGGATAAGAAGAAGGAGTTGTTCATGAAAGCGACCCTTCTCTATACAACAGCTGACAAGATCCTCATGTACGACAAGAACCATCTTTTAGGTGAACTAAAACTTTCTCCAGGGGTGTGTATTTTTTTAAACATCCTCACCCCTCTATCCCTTTTAGAAAAAAATTTGTCACTAAGTTTTTTTGGGGCAAAAGTTTCAAAAAGATATAATTGGTTGTTAATTTTGGATCGATTCGTTAATAGGCATGTCATTTGATTGATTGATTAATTGATTGCCTTCTTGATTGCCTGCTTGATTGATTGCCTTCTTGATTGATTGCCTGCTTGATTGTCTGATTGATTGATTGCTTGCTTCATTGATTGCCTGATTGATTGATTTCCTGATTGGTTGATTGCCTGATTGATTGGTTGATTGCTTGATTGATTGACTGATTGATTGTTCAAATCTAGGAAGAGCCTACTTCTGCCTGCTCGAGGGGGATAAAATGGATCAAGCAGACCAACAGTTTAACTTTGTACTTTCTCAGGTAAACGTCAATCCCTTCATATATAGAATGGCTGGTCAGAATCACAACGGTACCTGTTCAATTAAACCTTTATCTGATAATAATGTGGAGTGGAAGATATCACTGTTTTTCTATCTTAAAAATTGTTCAATTCTGACAATTACAATTATTGTTTTTGCAAGCAGAAATCTTAAAGTCACTTATAAAGAAAACTATTAAAATAATCAATTTTCAAAGAAGGAAATATGGATATTTCATTTATCCATGATACGACAAAGTTTTAAAGGGTTACGATGTTCATTTGATTGCCACTTGACATATATAAAAGCTCAGGGTTTCTTATTTTTACGTCATCAGTTCCTTTCAGCATTTTAGTTTTTACAAGTTTTTAACGGAAAAATGAAAGTAATCGTAATATTGCGATAATAAATTGTGCTGGTTAATTTGTTTCTAAAACATTGTTTTTAAGTAATATTTTTGCGCGATGTATGTATTAATAGTCTCCGCAAAAGGATATAAAAACTTTTTTATTTTTTTATTTCAGAATCCTTCCAGTATACCTTCCCTCCTGGGTAAAGCATGTATTGCATTTAACAAAAAGGATTATAAGGTAATAGTTGATGTTGATGTTGATGTTGATGTTGATGTTGATGTTGATGTTGATGTTGATGTTGATGTTGATGTTGATGTTGATGTTGATGTTGATGTTGATGTTGATTTAGAATGCACTGGCGTACTACAAGAAGGCCCTGAGAACGAACCCTAAATGTCCTGCGAATGTCCGGCTAGGGATGGGACACTGCTTTCTCAAACTGGGTAACCCTGATAAGGTAAACATATCCAGGGAATTTTTTTAATTTGAAATTTTCCTAATGGCGAAACTTTTTGTTTAACAATTGGTTGAATGGTTCGGTGTTAATTGATGCTGCTTATATATTTGACCTACTTATCTACTGACAAATCATTCCCCCGCTTCAATTGTTTTATGAACGTTTTTGTGTTTAAAAGGGTGTTACTATCTCGCTGAAAAAGAAAATAAAGATCAGAAAAAGTACCAAAAAATCTGTGAAATAAAAAATCTGTGAAATTCTATATCTATCAAAAATATCTATCTTCGATCCTCTTTACCTTTCCCAGATTTATTATTATTTTTTTTGTTTGCTTAACCATTTTCCTCAAATCTTTATCACTAAATCATAACAACCTACTCTGGTTAGGTGGGTCCAGACTACATAAATAGATTTTAAAATGTTAAGGCTCGCCTAGCGTTTGAGCGTGCCCTGGAACTTGATCCTGATTGTGTGGGTGCTATGGTGGGGATAGCAGTTCTTCAGCTCAATAGTCAGGAACCAGAAAATATCAGGTAGGGGGTGTGGGGGGGGGGGATTAATGGCGCCGGTCTAATGCGGGATCATCTTTTCTTAATCGGCTTAAAGAGATTGGAAACGTAATTTTGTACGAAGTTTGAAGATATACGACGTAATCCTTTACACTCCTTTCTGAGCAAAAAAAATAATGTCCTCGTTTTGCTCTCAAAAAATGACAATTTCTAATCGGAGGTTCTCTAAAATTGTGACTAGCTGATTTTAAGCATTAGAGTCAAAGAACGTAATTTACAAAATTGAAAACTTAGTTTTCGTTTTTCTAATTTTAGAAATTATAATTCATAACTGATATTTCATACATGTTTCCCTGCAGTAGAAATGCGCAAATCGCTTTATTAGAGAAACCACAATTTTATAAGAATAATAAGTTTTTAAAATTATGAACATTGATATCTTATTTTATAATTATTATGTCAAGGGATGGAGTGCAGAAACTGAGTCGAGCATACGGAATAGATTCTCAGAATCCGATGGTACTCAACCATCTTGCAAACCATTTCTTCTTTAAGAAAGATTACAATAAGGTTGGTTAATCTTATGCTCGAAAGGATCAACGGACCATGATTTTAAACAATTTTTAAGAATGGTTTTAAGAATGGTTTCCCGAGATTCATCCAGTTTGTTTTTGGCTGACATTATCTTAAAATATCATTCCCCCTCTTTTCAGGAATCATTTTCCCCCATTTTATTTTTGGTGTTTTTTCGCTAATAAATTTTTTTGGGGGTAAAAGTGTTTTAAAAGGAAATGTAAATCCCCAGCTTTTCAGTATTTTCTGTTAACAAAATCCTAACGGCCGGGTCAAATAGCATTCATAACAGGAGTATACGTTTTGAAGAAAAGTTTTTCGATGGTGGGAAGAAATAAAAATAAACATCAATAGCCCAAAATTTATTTACTTTTTCCAGTTCAGCGATTCAAACCACAAAAAAACCTAGCATTGGGGGAAAAAATGAATTAGAAAGGGGGAAATGATTTTTCCAGAAAATATATTCCTCTGATCCAAAATGCTGTGAATGTTTTAGGTTCAACATCTAGCACTTCATGCCTTCCATAGTACTGAAAATGAATTGATGAGGGCGGAATCCTGTTATCAACTTGCCAGGTTAACAAACTAACTTGAACATAGCTAACTAACTTGTTATCAACTTGTCAGGTTAAACAAACTAACTTGAATATAGCTAACCAACCTGTTATCAACTTGCCAGGCTAAACAAACTAACTTGAATATAGCTATCCAACCTGTTATCAACTTGCCAGGTTAAACAAACTAACTTGAATATAGCTAACCAACCTGTTATCAACTTGCCAGGTTAAACAAACTAACTTGAATATAGCTAACCAACCTGTTATCAACTTGCCAGGTTAAACGAACTAACTTGAATATAGCTAACCAACCTGTTATCAACTTGCCAGGCTAAACAAACTAACTTGAATATAGCTAACCAACCTGTTATCAACTTGCCAGGTTTAACAAACTAACTTGAACATAGCTAACCAACCTGTTATCAACTTGCCAGGTTTAACAAACTATCTTGAACATAGCTAACCAACCTGTTATCAACTTGCCAGGTTTAACAAACTA